GAAAGAGGGTGGCATGCAGGAAACTGAGACCGAGCATCAGTCTGATTCTCCATCTGGATCTCTGGGCTCGGGGAACGAAAGGGTGTCTGGGCTACACACTCAGGGGTCACAGCTTGGCTTGGGGGTAGGGAGCACAGATATCCAGGCTGGGCTACGTGGTGGTTGTTCAGGTGTATTAGCTGGGAGCGGTCTGGCAGCTGGGCTCTGGAGAGGGGGAGAAGGAACAGAGAAGTGGGCTGGTAGATCACAGAGGTTTCTTTACTCTTCTGGGGGAATTTCTGTGTGTCCGTCTGTACTGTTACAGACATGTTAACAGGTGTTTTGAAATAAATTACCAACGTCAGTGAAACTGGCGGCATATGGTGGTGTATTCTGACAAATAAACTTTGAAGAATTTTAAAATAGTGTGCTCAGAATTCCTAATTTTTTTGGCACAGAATGCCCCTAGGAGTAATATATTAATTCCCACACAGAACATTTTCAAACATACCTTCTCCAAACACTTCTCTACATCCCCCATTCAATGTAATATAAGCTACTCTTATGATTTGGTAGTCTCTACAGATAATATAACCACACGCTCTCTGAGACTCAGCCTATTAAGAACGTGAAGCACAGAATAAATGGCTTCTCAAATTTCAGCTTTTCAAAGTATTCTGAATCAAAGATGCGGATCTGGGAATGCAACAGAAATCACATGCTAACATGCAAAAGAGGAATTCAAACTGGTACCCTTTTCATCAATGGGCGTTAGCCGTGAACCCAAGGGCCACACTGGCACATTTTCAATACTCTGACGATGCAGAATTGCTTTCTGACATGACAGTTTAGCCGCACAAGTCACAACCACCACTGTACCCCCAAGACCGCCTGTTGAAATGATCACACTTGATCAGCTTCACACTCTGAACCATTTTAATCTTCCCTGAAAATAGGGGAGATAATGAAAAACTGGAAACCAGGTGAACAGTATTTCCTATTCTGATGAACACGATACGTCAAATAAGCACTGCGTTTGCCAACAGTGGGGTCAGTTCTTCTTTACCAGCCTTGCGAATACAGGCCTAGGAAGAACAATATTTCCTTTGACTCCCTAAAGAGATCTCCAAAACCCTACTTGTGATTGGAACATAAGTCTGTAAAACCTGTTTTTGTAGGTAACATACAAACCCTGAACTTGGACTCAGATTTTGCAAACACTTACTTGCAAATTCACTTCTACAACAGGACTGAAGTGAATTTAAGCATATGCCCATGACCAGGTATTTTTCTTAAAAGTGAGACATTTAAAAAATGTAAAAAATCCATTTTCCTGCCAGCATCTATACTATAGATATAATTCTTTTTTATACGGGATATACCGATCTCATAGAACTGGAAGGGACCTTGAGAGATTGTCAACTCCAGTCTCCTGCCCTCACAGCAGGACCAAGTAACATCCCTGACAGATTTACCCCACATCCTTAACTGGCCCCCTCAAGGATTGAACTCACAACCCTGGGTTTAGCAGGCAAATGCTCAAACCACTGAGCTATCTGTTCAGATAACAAAAAGAGACCACTTTTCACTCTTGTTTTTAGTCTATTTCAATGTCACATTGGCTTGAACTTACAAATGTTACAACGCCTGGATTGCAAAACATGCAGAAAAGTGTTTTTTTAAAAACTGTATCGATTAGCTTGGTCTTAGATTTTTTTCAAAAATAAGTGTTTACAAAACCTGATTTTTGAGCCACATTTTTTTCCTGACAGTTTTCTTTATTGTTTTTGAACTAGCTGAACTGACTCTAAACATCTCTTCGCTCTCTTCAAAGTTATGTCAACATTACTGACAAGGACTGGATATAAAATTTCAGACTATAGAATAATTTTGTCATTAGATAGCAACAGCTAAAGATTAATGATCACAGCCAAGGAAGCCAAAGCAGTGTGACAACGCAGTGTATATAAAACATGTGAAGTCTACATTGCTACGCTCCACAAACTTGTCTACAAGATACTGATCAGATATCACATGGAAAAGATTTTTAATCAATAAGTCTTTATTTTAGACATTTTGTCTGGCCTTAGAACACTATGTCCATAACATTCCAGTAAACCACATTTTTACTACAGAAAAATTGATTTAACAGATTTGATTTTTCTTCTTTCCACTTATACTCACCTGTAGTTTCCCCAAAATAAAAATGATGATGCAAGGCACAACAGGAATTAGACACACAGATGATGGTTTTGCAGCACTGAATTAACATAACAGAAAAGTTCTTGTATGATCCACGGCTATGGAACTGAATGTCAAATTTAGAACTCAGCAGTACAAAGCACTTGCGTATGAAAAGGGAAAACATAGCCACGCGCAAACTTGAGTTCTAAAAGGAATGATAGACAGCATTCTTTCACGGTATGTCTACACTGCATTCCTTTTTTGAGAGAGGAATACAAATGCAGACAAACGAAATTGCAAATGAACCGTGGAATTGAATTTCCCGTATTTCATTTGCATAATTGCATCCGGCCGCTATTTCGAACTACCCTATTTTGAATAAAGAAATACTGTGTAGACGCGGTTTATTTTGAGAAAAAAACCTTCTTTTGAAATAGCCCTTAAACCTAAGGGCTACGTCTACACTGGCCACTTTGAAGTAGGAATAAGATCCTCCGGAAAAGGGCTTTTTTTCCCCGGAGGATCGGGGCCAGTGTAGACGCTCTTTTCCGGTTTTTTTAAAAGCCGGAAAAAAGCGGCGGACATTTTTATTTAAATGCCGCGGGGGATATTTAAATCCCCCGCGGATTTCCCTATTACGGCTTCTGAAATTAACATGCCCCTTCCGGAAAAGGGGCCAGTGTAGACGTAGCTAAGGAGTAAGGGTTATTTCAAAAGAAGGGTTTTTTTCTCTAAACCGCGTCTACACAGCATTTTTTTCGAAATAGGGTATTTCAAAATAGCGGCCGGATGTGATTATGCAAATGAAGCCCGGAGAATTTAAATCCGCGCTTCATTTGCGATTTTGTTTGTCTGCATTTGCATTCCTCTCTCGAAAGAGGAATGCAGTGTAGACCTATCCTCAGTTGCTAGGCTGTATAATTCAAAGGTTACTTGCCCTACATCAAGCGTGGTTCTTTGAGATGTGTTCGTCAGTGTGGCTCCGCCGGCAGGTGCACATACATCTCACATTGTGAGATCAGAGCGCCCTGGAGCCCCACATACACCCCCGTACAAAGTCGTGAAGAGCAGAGCATCTGCTGCCCTCCCTCGCAATTCATACCATACGGGAGGACTGTAAAAGAGGGGCTGGTCGTCAGAGCCACAGTGACAACATCTCCAAGAAACACAGTCCCTGTAGGTAAATAACAGTTTGTTCTTCGAGTACGTGTCAGCGTGGGCCTCGCTGGAGCTGACTAGCAACCAGGGTCACCTCAGGTTGAGGAGCTTTCAGCTACCGCAGGCAAAAAAGCGGCAATAGTGGACTGGCTGCAGTTGACCAGCTCATTGTAATTTATATATGGACCTTGATACCAATTGTCAGAGACTCCCTATCTGGTGCCGGTGAAATGAATGGCTTAGCAGAGGGGACAAGGGATATCCCATCTCAAACGGTGGTGCCATGGAATGCGATGGCCTCACGTGGCCTTGATGTGGAGTTTCCAGTGGTATCAATTCCTCCATGCCACATCTCAGAGCTGCAACTGGCTTCAGCTACCAGAACCAGTGCTCACGTTTGGACCAGCTCCTTCTTTTGCATCGCACTAGCTTCTGGCTTGCAACTCCTGTCCTCAACCCAACAGAGGAGATTTCTTTGGAGGAATGGCGGGTTAGGCTCCTCCTTACAGGACAAGCCCACTCGATGGCTAACTCTCTGTGGGTATGTCTACACTGCAGTTATTTCGAAAGAACGCATCTACACACAAAATGCATTTCGAAATAGCATTTTGCTATTTCGAAATAGCACGTCCACACAGAGTGGACTCTGAATCGCATTTAAGGCTGGCCGGAACCAGGTCTGACAGGGCACCAGGTCAGGACTTACTGTGTGGGGCTGCTGCCTGAGGCTATCTGAGGTCTGTGCTTAAAGGAACCCCCCTCAGAAAGCCAGTTTTCAGGTTTCCCTGCTTGCTTGCCTACCTCAATGAGAGACAGCAAAGCATTGTGTGTCTCCATGCTCTGGTTGCCCTCACTCGGGACACCACAGCACTCTGCAACATGGAGCCAGAGCTGCCCCTGGGCACTCTGGTGCTTCTTTTGGATGTGTTGCTGCAAGTTTGGCTGCACTTTCTGCAGGCTGCCATCCGGGAGGTACATTAACATCCGGGAGACTGTCAGTATCCAGGAAGTCCTGCAGGAGAGCTTCCACCCTGAGGAGCACTAACAGTGTCCCTGGTGTACCCCACTAGGGGCTTGTGCCTCATTCCTCCCTCATGTCCTCCCAGTTACCCCTCCCTAACCCCCCTTCCTGATGTCAAATAAAATGAATGTATTTTCATGAACACAAGCTCTCTTTATTTAACAAAACTGGGGGGGGGGATGAAACTCTGGGGAGACTGGGGAAAGGAGGTGAAAGAAGGGAAGAGAGAGGGTGGGAGAGGGGAAAAAGACGGGGGGGGGGGGCAGATGGGGAGGGGGGGATGGTCAGACTGGGGAAAGGAGGCAGGAGAGGGGAGAAGAGAGGATAGGAAAGGGGAGAGGGAAACCTGGGAGAAGGGAGCTGGAAGGGGGAAACAAGGGGAAGAAGAGGGTGGGGAAGCTCAGGGCTCAGGGTTGGGGGTCTCACCGGACCAAACTGATTGTCACGCAAACCTGCTTCTGGGTCCGCATGTGGCCTTTGGTGGCCAGGCTGGCAGCTATCCTGCCATAGACGGCCACGTTCCTCCATCTAGTACGGAGATCATGGATGTCGGCATCCCACCCAAACCTGAATAAGGTCCATGATCTCCACCCTGGACCAGGAAGGCGCCCACCTTCTCCAGGCCCTGGCAGGCTGCTGGGAGCTGGCAGACTGCTCCTGGGGAGTGGTGGAGGGCTGGCTGCCAGTGGCTTGCTGCCTCATGTTTTGGGCCATGGGTCGGGGCAGTGACTGCTGGCTCTGGGCTGACAGGCTTGGAGCTGGCACAGGTACTGTGGCCAGAGTCAACCCCTTTAAGGACTGCAGGGAAGAAGGAGAGGGAGACGAATGTTCTTGGCTGAGGCTGGAGTGGCCACCAGGGCACCCTGGGAAGGGCTGGAGGCCCCCAATTCTGATATAAGTGTCTACAAAGCACTTATTTCAAAATAGCTGTTTTGAATTTGGCGTTATTCCTTGTGGAATGAGGTTTATCAAATTTGAAATAAGCGCTCTGCTATTTTCGAATTTATTCGAAATAGCGATTTGGCTGTGTAGACGCTAGGAAAGTTATTTCAAAATAACTTTGCTGTGTAGACATACCCTGTTTGTGGTCTGCATTGGCTCAGCTTGTGCACCAGTCTTGGGTATCAGGGCCAAAGGCTCCAGAACCATTGGTACCCGTACTGTGGTTGCTGCCACGAAAGCTGTTTGTGCTGAGCTTGCCGTGGTCATGACTATCGGCACTTTGGCTGCTGAAATGCATTCCCAGCACTCTGAGGATGCGGTCTTCTCAGGGTGGGCTCCTGGAGTATGACAGCTGTTTGAGGAGGGTGCTTGTTTTCCTTGTGACACATGGACTGCTCTCACAGGTGTTGCTTAGGGCAAACGTGTGTGTCCTACAGGAGAAAGACTGGCACACTGTGCATCTATCTGGAAGTGACTTTTCCTCTACCAGAAGAGGCACCTCATGGATACAACATTCAGGAGTAACAGAAGAAATTCTCATGGTGTGCAGGGAAACTTGCACACGTGCCTGGTGTTACTTCTAGTCTGCACGCCTGAGCAGGATGTCCCAGCCTGCTGCAAACAAACAGTCTACAGAGCAGATCTTTTCATTTTGGGTGCACATCTACTCAGCAGAGCTTAACTTGAAATAAGCTACACAACTTGAGCTACGTAGCCTTTTTTCAAAATTGGGAGCATCTATACAGCACTTATTTAGAAACAGAGCACTAAATAACACTCGCTTTTTTCAAAATAATGTTGCTGTGTAGACGTACCCTCTCAAAGGAATATTTCCATGAAACCTTAGCCACAAGAGTATAAAACTGGTGACATCACTACATATGGAAGATTCTTCTCTACAACACAGCAAAACACGGAGTTCTATCTGAAATGCCATTATGTGAAGAAAATGCAAATGACAACAGAAAGCCAAGCTCTGGTTTAAGATCTGGGAGAACTTGAAGTTGGTTCAATAAAAGCGATTGCTTCATCCACCTTGTCTCCAGTGAGAAAAATGACAGATACTCACCACCATGTTATAGGCATCAGGAACTTCAATTTCAAACTGAAATTTTCCTCCTTGGTAATAACCCTCATCTATTTAAGAAATAAAAAATAAAGAAAATAAATGTTATATGAACATGAAGATAAGGCTCAATAATCATTGCACAGATAACAATAATCACATCATCGTTTAAAACACTGCTATTATGCTTACACCATATTTTTTTTTAAATGTCGTTTTACTAAAGTGACATTTGAAAATTTCTTCCCAG